GGTGAAGGCTTCCCTTTTATGTGAGCCAATGGCGTAAAACGAGTGTGGGCTGAAGTAAAAAGAAAATTATTAACTCCCTTCTTTTCCATCTTCTTTGTTATTCTGAAGTCTTCACTTCAAGGAGGTCCATTGAATATTGTTTTGTCGGTTTCAATTCAAGGCATCTTCACGAGAATGTCCAATTGATTGCGCTACTTCCAAATTTTTATTTGAGAACATCGCTTGTTCAGCGGGTTTGGTTGTTGTAATTGAACCGGCTCTGATGATTCTTAACTGGCATTTCTGATGATAATTTTTCACTTGGCCGGTGTATCATTGATTTTCAAAGCTGAAATCATTAGTAGTTGTTTCAGTATCTCAATGAATTGATTAATTGTCATTTCTAAGAGAGCTTTGAATCTTTCTTTTTTAGTGAGCTTTCTTTCTGTCTTTTTTAGCCTTCATAAATCCATTTTGGGAAGATCTTTCACTGCGGGGACCTTCTGACACTCGTGAATTGTAGAAGAAAATACCCTAAAGAGTTTAATTTTTATCATAATATTCTTCCAGATAATTTCCTTCCGGATCCATTGTTTGTATGGTGGTGAGAGCTCTCTAGCCTCTAGAAGTTAGTGTCTTTTAGGAGTCTATTTGATGGTGTCTTGAATACTAGTGATCGGCGACTCTTTTTCTTTTGGAGTATATGTGGTATTATTCTTTCTCTTACCGTCAGTTGAAAGTTTGATATCATGTCCATCTTGAGAATTTTCACAGATCCTCTCACCTGCTATGTCTTCCTATAGGTCTTGAGCATGAGCGACTCGAGTTGTGCGATGGCAATCTTCCCACTCCAAAGTCATGAGATTTTTTCACATCTTTCTGCTCTGTTCGACTAGTCTCGGTATGCGATCATTACTTAATGGTTTTGTCAGAACTCCCATTTCTTATCTATTTATACAAAAAAGAATCTTTGAAACTTGAGTTTCTCAATTTAATTGAGGGTTCTCCACATTAAAGTTGGCAGTGTGAGAATTACTCCTTCAGTAGGGATATCGCCTTACACATCATACTACTGAACCGTACTGTTGTTATTGCTGTTGTTGTTGTTGTTATTATTACTATTGTTATTGTTATTGTTATTGTTGTTATTATTGTTATTATTATTTAAATACATGTGTTAAGACGTTATGCGACGTATAAATCTTCCTAAGAAACAGATCAACTCTAACGATAATGACCTCGTAGAGGTGCTTCGAGAAATCATCAGCGAAGAAAACGCTTCGAACATGGTGATAAAATAATTGAAGCGAAACTCCATCCTGGAGCAACTTCAATGTCAAAACTGTTAATGGCGCTCTAAAACTTCCACAAGGTTTGGCGGAAAGGTCATTGGAATGCGACCCAAACTTGGAAATAACTTCGAAATTGAAGGAGTAAATAAAAGTAGCAACTCTTCGTGCGTGGAGATTAGGAAGTTGACGAAACAAAAAACACCAAATACTATTTGCAATAACTTTTAACATTGAAATAACTTTCAAATATGGTTTTAGTTCTTCCCTGTGAAATGTTAATTGTGGATTCTCTTTGTTGTAGTTCTTACTTACTCCTTTCACTGAAATTGTTTGTCAGATATTTTTTCTTCCTTTTTGAACAGTTTTTCGATATCCAGAAACCTAACACATCTTCCTACATTAAAAGATAGACTCAGTATTCTCATTTGCCATGTTTTGGGGAAATTAATTTTCGTGATTTTTGAAGGATTACTGCTGTCTATTTTAGATGTGTGATCTCATTGTGCATCCTTTTTTTGTGGAGACTGTTCAAACACGAAAATGTAATGTTCCTTCAAATTTTAACAAAATTATATTTTATACTTTTATTTGTTGTTATTATTATTATTATTATTATTATTATTATTACCCAACTAAAATTACATTAAGGGTAAGGACCTCCTTCCATTTGCAGGGTATACTGAATGAAATGAAATGGGGTTGATGAGGTGTGAAAGGACTAGGATGATGGTGGGAGATGGCAAGTGGGATGATGGGAATAGTTCTTGGCATTTTTGAACACACTCGGCATTCGTCTTATGACCAAGGGAAAGCACGAAAAAACCTCTGTCAGGATGGCCACCTCGGAGATCGAACCCGGATCTCACGACGGCGAAGTCAGCGCGCTACGCACTGAGCCACGTTGCTCGGTTCATATTTTAATAAAGGTGTTTAATTAATGAATGATTAGTTGGTAGTTCTCACAATTTAGCACTTTTTGAGTAAGATTTGTGAACGTGCGAATAGAATATTGTAGATTCGTTGCGTATGATGAATTCAATTATTCAGTTTACGCGCATGCAACCCGCAACGCACGGCTGCAGCACCCGGAAGAACTAAATCTCTCAAAATGGTATTGAAGGTCCGGGGATGACTCATTTTGTTGATCATGGTGTAAGTTAACTGTATGTGTAATTCATTGTTAATGTAATTGTCTTGCAAGCCCACACAGTCGTCGGGCATCGCAATTCATTTGTTAAAGGCTTAAAAATTGCGCATTTCCAGCACTGAACGATCGAATTCATTGGAGAACTTTCAAAATCTGAAAAACGAATGCCCTTTGTTATATAATTTGATTTACCTGGCATTTGCGAATATATAACAACATCTTTTGTAGTTATTCATATTATGGAAATGGAGTTTTCTATCCGATTTTTCTTATCGTTTCTTCCTACTGGCTCCCTCATAAACTGTGACTATTCTATCTTCGGAGGCAGTATACATCGATCGCTATATCGATGTCCAATATACCGCGTATATAGTGTAACCTCTTTGATTTTAACATAGCTATCAGATATATTTCCAATTTTTGACGCATTTTGGAACTCTGTTGAACATAATTTCACTCTTGGAATAGTCCTATTAAATACCACTCTTGCTTTGGAAATTCTCAGATAAATCATCTCGGTTCGCGAATCAAGGATTTATCTGAACACTCGTGTTAATACCCGTGATCAACTTGTGAGAGGACTAGAGCGAAGCGTCTCTAAAAGTCTCATTCTTTCTTTATTCAGATTTCGGGAAAAATAATAAATTGTTAAGTGACGGTAAAATTGAAGTTTCGTATCTTGTACAAAATATAGAATGTAGCCTTATCAATGATAAATTATGTAATAATGGAATAATAATACAATATGTCGAATGTCCATTCTATATTACGGGCTCACTTTAAACAAGATGCTACTGACCACACTCGATTCTTCTCCAAATCTGTCACAATTCTCGTCCGTGGGAAATGCTGTCGTGCTGATTCACCGGTTCGGTTTGGCCCATTCCCCTGGAAGTAGAAAGACTCCGCCATTAATAAGAGTACACAACCGTTGACCAGAACCAAAAACTGGAGCTTCAGCTCCAGCTTTAACCAAATATTATTAAATATACTATTTTTATTAGCTGGGAGTTAATAAATCAGATGAGACTTCGGAAGCTTTGTAGGACGTATGGATATCCTACAAAGCTTCCAAAGTCTCATCTGATATTAACTCTAGCTAATAAAAATAGTATATTTAATAATATTTGGTTAAAGCTGGAGCCAAACCTCGATTTAATAAGGAATTCACTGATTGTAACGTGTCGCCGAGCATTTGACTTCTTCCAAATCCCTCTCTGTCTCCCTGGAATATACGAAGCGTCTTATTTATCTATTTGTAAGAATTTACTTGAAAACTGAATTTTGTGCATAATGCTTATCTTTTTTTATACACCGCACATTAGCACAATATAAAAAATGATTGAAAAGTCGTAAAACAATCTTCCTGGAAACCGTAATTGAATAATGGCCTTCCTCTTCTTTCTACCTCCTTTTGCGAACTTTTTCGCGAGCTGTTGTTGACGGAGCAACGCGAACGTATGTTTTCTCTCTGCGGTACCGTAAATATCATTTAACACTCTATTAACTCTGCCGTTTCAAAGACTGGAGTTTGGCTGCTACAGGTAAGGACGGGCATGTAAGATTTGAAGGTGAATGCACTTTAAAAACTATTTTAGCTCCGCATTGCTTTCTGAAAATGTTTATTTAGAATCGCCGTGAAGTGCTTGAACTCAACGAATGAAAGTCTCTAATTCAAATGTCTGTGCGTGTTAAAATGAAATTGGAAGTAGCGTGCAGGTAGAACTATAATATTTGTTAGAATTAGTTCAAAATGCGATTCACATGAAAGTTATGACTTGCACAGCTAATTTCATGTAGATGGTAATATCATATTAAGTTTTTCTCTCTCTAAAGCAAAATTTCACTGAACTTATTTACGTCCAAAAACCTCAACTGTAATTTTTGTAAAAGACTGTTCAATAAAGTGGTCAGGCGAAAGAGCAGATCTTATGGATTGCCCACAAATAAAAACAATTTTATTATTATTTCACATAAATGTAATTTCAAGCTAGAAAAATAAATTAGAAAATTCTTGTTTGGGAGAAAAATAAAATGTGTATCTCTTGAAGCTGCCAGTATTCTTCGAACTCTTTCTCAGAAGCCAACTATTTTGGCGCCAACTTGATCTCGAACGATGCACATTAATTTGCAGTTTCAATAATTAATAAATAAAATAAAATTCTCATTTGCTTCTTAAATATTGTAATTAAAAATATTACGACTACTTTACTCACTAGATTAATGTAGAACCTTATTGATTTTAATCTGTCAGGTCTCGCTTAGATCTGGAGAGGAGTCCTCGGTTCATAGAAAATACACTTTCCCATCCATCGTACAAGTGATAATAGTTTATGTTGTAAAATAGCACTATATATCCCTAATAAAACAATCGTAAAGTGTAACTAATGTAAACTATTTTAGGTTTTAGAATTTTAAAGCAGTTGTAAAAAGCTGTCGCTAACATTGAATCTTAGGAAACTGTGGGGAAAAAAACCCTTTCTCTCACTTGTTGTGTGCTCTCCTACTCTTCGTTGCGTACGGCTGGCGCGGGGCATTTGCGACGAGTGGGTAGCCGACGTGCGCTTTGTGTGGGCTTGCAGGAGCTGCCGCTCAGCGAGTCCTCGATGACCTTCCAGTGGTGGCGGAAGCCGCCGGTGAATCCAGTCATGAGGGTCTACGTGTACAACGTCACCAACGCCGACGAATTCCTCAACAACGGCAGCAAGCCCATCGTGGAGGAGCTGGGCCCCTACGTCTACGTGTGAGTTTGCTCGCTAGCTCAGATCTTTTATCAATACAGACAAAGTTTTCTTACGTTTTTTAATATGATCTGATATCAGAGTAATGTTAAAAATCATATTTCTATATAAATTAAATTACTTTGATATTAAGGCAAGTGTTTTGGCTTGCATTAATTCCCTTCTTATAGGTAGTTGAGATGAAGGGGGTTGATCTTTTTTTCCATTTTCAGAAAATGATATAGATAGTGAAGTGTGTAACCTATCACTTAAATAGTTAACAGAAGTAGGATTCGACGTTAGTGTTAAATGACTGCAATAGACGTTGTTCTTTACAAAATATTTGCAAGCCCTAAGTTCGCGTTAATAAAATAGTGAGATTGTACTCTCCTTTGCAGTCGTGTGTTGTTTTCTGAAGACGCTATTGTCTCGTAAAAAATGAACGTATGTTTGAAACAGAGTTTTTGTTTGAGTATTTGCACAATCATCATATAGTATGTTATTGTTTTCTTATAATATTTCATTATCACGTCAATCATTACTAAAATATGTATCCCCAATTTTTTACATCTCATCGATTTGCGCAAATAACTCGGTTCCATCTTGCGACGAGGCTATGCATTAAGATGCCCACTCTTTCTCTGAAAGTCCAGTGATCTGGACCCTCTGCAAAAGCCTAATCCTTGCAGACTTTGTAGACCTGAATACTAGCAATTTAAGCAATTTTTCTCTTGTTGATAGTAATGATGGAGTCTAACAAAAATTTCTAAACACATATATAATGAATTCTTTGCATTTGAGTATTTTTCCCATTACCGTTATCAGTGTTTTCAGGAGCATTTCCTCTGTAATCGACCGGGTCATTTGAACGTGCGAAGTGTGTGTGTGTGTTAATTGGTTTCCACGAAGTGAAACGTGGGGCGGTCGCCCGTGGAAATGCACGGGCTGTGTTCCTGTTGTTGCAATTTCGCTTAGTCGGCTTGAGTGAAGCGTGGGGTGTGGGTTTGAAGGTCGGGAGAATGTTCTCGTCAATGGCTGGATAGTGCATGAGAAAAGGGTTGTGTCCTTGCGCTGCTTGGCATTTTATGGAAATGCCTGTAATTAGTTTCCTTATTTCCATACATGTCTGGGACGTCAGGGTGTCGTTGTTGGTTTCATAATGTAAATAGAACCGAAATCGGTATTTTATTTTTCGTTAATCTGGGATCATTGATCTTAAAATTTGCGTTAAAGCTTGTCGGATTATACATGCAATAAAAATGTACTGCGCAAAGTTCATATAATATCCTCTACATCTTGAGAAAGGCAAGATAACATTTATAATTGTGATTACTGTATTATTATCATCGTATATTCATTCTCTATTCATCAGAAATATAATTCAGAAGTAAACTTCCATGATATTAGATATTCTTTTCATTTTATATCCTAAACAAAATCAGACATGCAGTAACTGGGTAAATTGATTTTATATGAAAAGCTTTATCTAACAATCATTGCCGTAGAAATTGATAGAAAATTTCGTTCACGTTTTGCTTTCTGATGAAACCTGAATATACGTTCACCCGCCGACCTTATGCAAAATCTCGAAGTTTCCAAGCAAACACACTAAACACCTAACTTCGATGTCCACATTGTTCACGTCACGAGGAAGTCGTTAACACGAAACGGAAATTTCAGTTATAACAAACTGCTTTTCATAAACATCAACACTGACATAAATCCACAACATACATGACCTTCGTTTTGTCAGAGGAAACTACAACTGAAAGTGAAATTACTCTGCGTGTTGGCGCACTAAAATAACATTGTAGGAAGCAATGCATTGCAGATTTCTTTTATGGCGGCTCTCGTATTCACAGCAAAAGTTAAGTGCGTCAGAAAGAAATTGGGCGCTACCAGCTGCAAAGGCAGATGACCCACGGAAGAGGAAAAAACGAACGTTCCCAACAAGTCTTGTAACGATTGACGGAACAATTAGAAAGAGAAAACGTAACAAGATAATGTTGATCAAACTTACATCTTTCGCAATGAAATGTTGCGTATATAATTCTAACTGTACTTCTTGTTATTCCTTTCCATTTAATCTATTAATTCCAATTTTTCATTTATTTTATTCTTCTTCTTTTAATGCGCATAAACCTCCCTAAGTCTTTTTCTCCTTTCATTAATTCCATCACTATTTGAAGAAGGCTTCTAGCATCCGTCTGCTTTAATAGGTAGTTTTCCTTGACTGACAAATACCATGAGAGCGCCGAAACATTCTTTTAAGAAACGGAAACACGGTTGCGCGCGATTTTTCATTTCCCATCCTCGTCTGCTCTCTCTCTCTCTATCTATCTATCTATCTATCTCTATCTATCTATCTATCTATCTATCTATCTATCTATCTATCTATCTATCTATCTTTCTATCTCTCTCTATCTTTCTATCTCTCTCTCTATCTTTCTATCTCTCTCTATCTTTCTATCTCTCTCTATCTTTCTATCTCTCTCTATCTTTCTATCTCTCTCTCTATCTTTCTATCTCTCTCTCTATCTTTCTATCTCTCTCTATCTTTCTATCTCTCTCTCTATCTTTCTATCTCTCCCTCTATCTTTCTATCTCTCTCTCTATCTTTTGCCTCTCTCTATCTATCTTTCTCCCTCTATCATCTTATCCTATTTTCTATATTCTTCTAAATCTTTCTATATCTCTTCTTAAATCTTTCTTATTCTCTTCTAAATCTTTCTTATTCTTCTCCATAAATCTTTCTATATCTCTCTCTCCTAAATCTTTTCTATAATCTCTCTCTCTCTAATCTTTCTATATTCTCTCTCTCTCTAAAATTTCATATTCTCTGCTTAATTTTTCTATATTCTCCTCTCTTAAATCTTCTATCTCTTTCTTCTCCTGATCTCTCTCTCTGTGTCTTTCTTTCTCGTCACACACACAACGACACCACCCCACTTACATGCATTACAGTATCTCACATTATGTCGAAACACCAATTGAGACCTACAAACTGATCCCATCAGAGGCGGTGCCCCGCTGGGAGGAGGGAAGTTTTTTGGAAGGAGAAACCTCGCAACCCGCCTCGTCGGTCGGCGCCGAATCTCTCGTTCCATTGGGGAGGAACAGCGCCGCCTATTGGGTGTAGTGTGACACTTAGGGTCTAGTGCCCTAAGCAGATGAGGCGCTCGGAAAGAGTTTTTTCGTTTGGCCACTCTTCGACCCTGGGCGGACACGCTCCTCGCCTCCTTCCCGCTCCGCAACGAGACCTTCGCCGCTCGCGCCGTCTGGTGCGGCGACGCGGAGGAGGAGCGCCGGGGCCCGAGCGGGCATTGCCATTCCAGACGCGCGCCCACGCGCCGATTGCGCACCGGCGAGGCACGCGGGCCGCGGGCCTCCCCTGCTGCATCGGCGGCGCTGCCCATTGCGCGCGCGGCCCCTGCG